TTGTCCATTCTATGTAGCGCTGAGCCGGCATTTTTCGCATCGAGGCCGGCCATTTTTCTTTCTCTACCGGAGCTACGTCATCTTTGACGAGGAGGAAGTTGAAAAGCGCGCCACGCGCGGCAATCACCCGCAACATTGTGTCAGGTGACTAACAGCTCTCCACTGATACTTCGCGACGGATGCTGCGTTTACACTCGTTCAAGTGAAAGTTTGGTGCTATTTTACACTTAAGATAGTATCATTTTATGTTGTCTTTAGACTTTCTTTACTTTTCTACCAATTTTATTATTACGTTTGCTGCGCAATACTGAAATTGTTTCGTTTGTGTATTTACCGATTTGTTCCACTGCGTGTATGTGTAAAGCGTTTTTGCGATTTGACCGTTTCTGATTTTGCCTTTAAACCATGGCGAGTCAAGGAGAATCTAACGTTTCAGAGGGCCACGTTGGCAACGAGGGTGATGCTACTGCACTAGTCGGTGGCAGTCCCATTTACGTAAACAGGGTCGCAATTAGGACCCCGCCTTTTAGCAAGGATCGGCCCGCATTGTGGTTTGCTAGCCTAGAGGCGCAGTTCCACATTAACCAAATTACGGTCGAAATGACGAAGTTTCATTTCGCCGTGGCGCATTTAGATACCGAGTGTACGAAGGAGGTCGAAGATATTATCACACATCCTCCCGAGTTGCAACCATACACAACTTTAAAAAGCGCAATCATATCTAGATTCTCCGATTCCTTCGAGGAGATGGTGCGGCGCTTACTAGAATAGGAACAGTTAGGTGACCGCAAGCCATCTTCGTTCATGCGACACTTGAAGAGTCTGGCTGGGCAATCGTTCCCTGCTGACTTGCTGCGATCAATTTGGGCCAATCGGCTTCCCCGGCAGGTTCAAATTGTGTTGGCCGCACAGAAGATCCAGGACTTGACGGAGTTGGCGGAGATGGCCGACCAGTTGGTGGAGTTGACCGAGAGGCCTACCACCGTGAGCCAGGTTTCGTCACATCATACCTTTGAGCCCACTCTCGCGTTAATGCAGCGGCAGATCGAGGAATTGACGCGAACAGTCTCAGCGCTCAGAACAAACACCCATGAACGATCTGGGAGCTCATGCGTTAATCAAAAGCGGAGCCACTCTCGATCGCGCTCACGCCCACGTAATCAGAAGCTTTGCTGGTACCACGATCGTTTCGGCAACAAAGCAAGCAAATGCATACCAGGATGCAGCTGGACCATTGAAGGAGCTACCAAACCTTTAAACTAAGGGAGCGGTCGGACGTGGCAAGTACCGACCGCGCACAGTCCAGCAAACGCCTTTTTATTACCGATCAAAATACCAAAATAAATTTTTTGATAGATACCGGTTCGGACATTTGTTGTTTTCCACGAAAACTTATAAAAGGACGTTTCTCAAATACAGGACTTACTCTCATTCCGGCAAATGGCAGCTCCATTAAAACTTACGGCACAGTTAATCTGAACCTCAATTTAGGACTGCGCCGTGAATTTCGCTGGGAGTTTATTTGTGCTGACGTGGATGTCCCAATTATCGGTTCGGATTTCCTAGCTTTCTTCCACCTCCTACCCGACTGCCGTAGCGGCACACTGCGCGATGAGCTTACAAACTTATCCGCATATTGTTGTAACCGCAATATAATGCAGCCAAGTATTAGGACCGTAAAAAAAAAACCGTCTCGCGATTCCCTGTTCAATCAACTCTTTTTAGACTTTCCGGAAGTGACGCGCCCACCTACAGCTGACCGTCAAATAAAACACAGCACTGTTCACTATATAACGACAACTAGTGGGCCGCCTGTCACGTCGCGTCCTCGTCGACTAGCACCCAACAAGCTAAAAATTGCTGAGAAGGAATTTAATGACATGGTGTCGGCGGGTACTGCTCGCCCATCTAAAAGCCCCTGGTCGTCACCACTGCATTTAGCACCCAAAAAGGATGGCATGTGGCGTCCTTGCAGTGACTACAGGCTCTTAAACGCTCGGACAGTTCCCGATCGGTACCCTGTGCGTCATATAGGAGACTTCAGTCATAATCTGGCTTGTTCTACTATATTTAGCACATTAGATCTAGTAAAGGCCTACCAGCAGATTCCGGTAGCTGGTCCAGATGTTCGCAAAACGGCCATAATAACGCCATTTGGTCTTTTCGAGTTTCCCTATATGTCATTTGGGTTACGCAACGCTGGCCAAACCTTCCAGCGTTTCATCGATGAGATCTTGCGCGGACTAGACTTCGCTTTTCCCTACATTGACGATATTTTGGTATTCTCACGGGATGCTGAAGAGCACGCCAAACACCTGCGCATAATCCTGCAAAGACTGGTGGACTATGGCGTCGTTGTCAATGTGGATAAGTGCGTATTGGGGACATGTGAGGTAATCTTCCTAGGTTATAAGATAACCAAGGATGGTATCTGCCCACCTGAAGAGAAGATCGCTGCTCTCCGCGAGTTATCGCTTCCCAAAACAGCTCAAGGTTTGAGACGCTTCCTGGGGATGGTAAATTATTACCGCCAATTTCTTCCCAAAGCCGCCAAGCTCCAAGCTCCACTTGTGGATTTTTTAACAGTCAGCAACCTAAAAGGTTCAAAAGCTATGCCCTGGACAGCAGACTTGGAGCGTGCTTTCTACGACTGTCGCGACAGTCTCTCAGAGGCCACCATGCTTGTACATCCGCAACGAAATGCTCGTTTAGGGTTGTACACGGACGCCTCCAGCACTCATGTCGGCGCTGCCTTACAGCAAAGGTCTGATCAAGGCTGGCAGCCGTTGGCATTCTTTAGCAAAAAGTTAACACAGAGCCAAAGTACATGGCCCGCGTATTACCGCGAACTTCTCGCAGTGTACGCGGCCGTACAGCATTTCCGGCATATACTAGAGGCACAACACGCGACAATCTACACGGACCACAAGCCGCTTCTTTATGCTTTCGTCCAACGCCGTGAAAAATTGCCCCCTGCTCAACTTAACCAACTCACGTTTATTTCCCTGTTTACAACTGATATCAAACACGTGAAGGAGGAAGACAACATCGTTGCTGACACAATGTCCCGCATTGAGGCTATCACGCTCGATGACGATTTCGCAGCCCTGGCAAAAGCTCAGCAGACGGACGACGAACTTAAAACCGTAAAGGTCCATTCTTCTTTACAGTTAGAGCCAACCCTCATACCTGGATCCAACATTTCCGTTTTGTGTGATGTGTCAACAGGCAAACCTAGACCCTTTTTGCCAAAACAATATCGGCGAGCCGTCTTCGATCGCCTACATGGTCTCAGCCACCCCGGCGCACGCGCTTCCGCGCGCCTCATTAGCGACCGCTATGTTTGGCCAGGCATTGCTAAAGACTGCTGCTCCTGGGCACGCGAGTGTCTCGCCTGCCAGAGCAGCAAGGTAACGCGCCATGTCGTTTCACCGCTTGGCAACATTAGCACACCTTCAGGCAGATTCCGTCATGTTCACCTGGACATTATTGGACCGATGCCTTCTTCAAACGGATTCACTTATTGCCTAACAGCAGTAGACCGTTACTCACGCTGGCCCGAAGTTTGGCCCATGTCGTCGATAACCGCAGTAGAAGTCGCTGATCAATTCACCCATGGCTGGATCGCTCGCTTTGGTGTACCGATCACTGTCACAACGGACCAGGGACGTCAATTTGAGTCCCAACTTTTCAACAGACTGATGGATTTAGTAGCCACAAAACGCGTTCGTACTACGAGCTATCATCCCCAAGCTAATGGGATGATAGAGCGTTTCCACCGCCATTTAAAGGCCGCTTTAATGTGTCACAAGACTTCTTGGTACCATGCCCTACCTTTCGTTCTTCTCGGATTCAGGGCGGCACTAAAAAATGACATCAAAACGTCAGCTGCAGAAGTTTTGTATGGGGAACCGCTACGCCTACCAGGCGAGTTCCTGGTGGCTAGCAATTCCCCTCAGACCGTGGACGATGATTTTGTTGCACAGTTGCGAAAACGGATGGCAGAACTTCGCCCCGTTCCAGCATCACGTCACACGAATTCTAAAACTTTCGTTTTCAAGGACTTACCTGATGCTACTCACGTGTTCCTCCGCGAAGATTCCGTTCGACGCCCTCTACAGCCACCTTATACAGGCCCCTACAGAGTGTTGAAGAGATCTGAAAAGACACTTACCTTAGACATTTCTGGCCGAAGATCTGAGGTTAGCATCGACAGAACAAAACCTGCGTATATTGCACCTGACCCAGACGGCAGTCCGTCCCCTAACAACTTGGCACCGGAGCCCCCAGTCCTTCCGACTCTTTCACCTCCTATTAGCCAAACGCCCGTGCCCATTAAAACGCCCGCACAGCCTGTAACAACCCGGTCGGGTCGCAAAGTTAAAGATTTATAAGTACTAGTTTTTAATACGTTATTTTTGTTAAAGCAGAGTTTTTTCAATTTTAAGTTTCCAATGTTTATTTTTTCGTTGTATAAATTAAAATTCCATTAGTTAAAAATTATCCTAAATAATGTTGCTTGTACTTTTATAATAACAGTGTATAATTATTTGATTGTTACATTTTATACTTGTTTTGCCTTCAATGTGTACTTATTTTTCTCCGCAGGGGGGTGATGTGGCGACTCATTTGCTACTGTGTAGCACCGCTCTTATCTTTTACACCCTTACTCTCATCGGTCTAGCATTACCCTATTATTGACAAATTTATATAGCAACGAGTGACAATAAAAGATTATGTTTTTCTTTTTCTCAACACGGCTTGTTCTTTGTACTGCATCTTAATTATTCCCTCCTGCCGGCTCCCAAAAAAGTTTTTGTAATTTTCTCTTTTCAAATATGCCTTTAAAAGGAATCCGTTTGGTTACTTTTGATGCGACTAATACTTTGCTTAGGTTTAAAGTACAGTCTTGGCAATATTATGCACATATCGGGCGAAATTATGGTTATGATGGATCGGAGAAAGATCTAAAACCTCGTTTATTGGACAGTTATAATGAAATGTGGGAAAAATATCCCAATTTTGGCAGAAACACTATTAGTTGGGAAAGCTGGTGGAACCAAGTAGTGAAAAAAACGTTTGATGGTCACCTGCCAAAAAATGCTGATATTAACTCCCTTGCTTCTGAGCTAATAAGTGACTTTAAAACAACAAAATGCTGGAAATTAGCTGAAGGTAGTAATGAAATACTAACTGTTATAAAAGAATGTGGTATTTCCATAGGAGTAATATCAAATTTTGATCCTCGGCTTGTTGAGATTTTACGTAATGTAAATATTTATAACAATTTTAACTTTGTTCTTACTTCCTTTGAAGTTGGGCATACTAAACCAGATAGAGAAATATTTGACCATGCATTAAAAGTACATATGAATGCCTGTCCAGCAGAATGTCTTCATATTGGAGATGATCTTGAAAAAGACTTCAGAGGTGCAAGAGCCGCTGGATGGCATGCATTACTTGTAACAAATAAAGAATATAAAGATATTGGTAAGAAACATATATTTCACAACTTAATACAACTGTGCAATGTTATTTTAGAAAAAAAAATTCAATTGTAAATTTTGTTTCATTACTATTTATTACAACTCTAATATGTAAAATGCCTATTTTCACCATCAATCCCTGACTTTGATCTTAGGTGTGAGCTTAAGTGATGGTGAAAACTAAACTAACACTTAATTTTTGTATGGTGTCCTTTAAAGATAGGGATTGATGGTGAAAAATATCATAAAAGTTATATTCAAAATAAACATTTGAAGTTTATATGAAGCAGTTTTTATGTCTATATTTGTACATTTGTACATTTCTTAATTGTACCTAGGCAGCTTTTATTTAAACACGCTTTTATTAGTTTCACCTGTATGTATGTATGAATGAAATGGACTCTTAAAGTGATTTTGTCCTACTTTGAACAAGCAGATTTAAAGAAAACTGCTCACTCGTTAGACTCATGACTGTCATGTGTGTATGCAATAATTTAAATAGTTTTTCCCATTTTCCTGATCAGGATCTCCAAGATTAGTAATTTACCAATTCCAATATCCATGTCCTTATGCCAAGTATGCATTTAAAGAATGTTTAAAAAAATAGAAAACACGCTTTAATACTTAGCAGATCCACAAACTAGGAAATAAATAACATTTAAAAAAAGATACTAAAAACACTAATTTTTGGATAACCAAACAAAAATTATTTTTAATAAATTTAAATTATGAAGTGTGATCAACAATAGTAATCGTTTTGGCCATAATTTTTGCTATAGTTTATAAATTGAATTTTTCATCTATCACTTTTATTCCTTTTTTCAATTTGACTTTATATTCAGTTTTGTCTTGTCATATAATATCAATTCAAAATTTTTAGTACTATTAAAAGTAGGTATCCATTTTAATAGACATTTTGTTAAACCTTATTACAAAGAGCCGTGATAGCTCAGTGTCCGGGCGTTCGCCTTTAATTCAATATACTCGAGAGACCTGAGTTCGATCCCCGGTGCCGGCACCAATGAAGTTTTTAACTTTAAGTGCTGACTTATCACGTTCTCCGCGGTGAAGGAAAACATCGTGAGGAAACCTGCATATTTTCGGAATAATAACAAAAAAAATATATTTTTCGAAGATATGTGAAGTCCGCCAATCCGCAATGGGGCCGCGTGGTGGACTATGCCCTGATACCCTCTGTATAGACAAGGTACCTTTGCCCACCTGTGGGACATGTATAGGCTGTTACTTTACTTTTTTATTACAAATTTAATTTTGTTCCCTTATCGAACAAAAAGTGGGGACCATGACAGGAATAAATAATAATAACATTTAGTGCATTATAGCTTTAATGGTTGTGATACAGTAGGTATTAATCTCAAAGTCAAAGTATCTTTTTTCAATATAGGACTTAATAGTCCGGGGTTCCAGGCATATTTTCACCTTTTATTATTAACAAGCAGATTTGTTAGTACTACTACTACTACTTCATTTTGACGGGACGCCCAACTTTTTCCTTACTACAATTTTGGTAAACGGTAACTAACAGGTATAGGATAACTTCTGTGAGAAATATCTAAGTGCTTGAGCTATGAAGTGCCTCACGCAGTAAAACACACGTCCGTTCTTTACTCGCTTTATTTGGAGACAGCCGATACAATAAAACTTATGTCTACATACGTTACACCTCCACCCTTATTTACCATACAATTTAAGAGAATAACATTCTCAACTAATAACAAACTATTTTGCTGCTATTATCTTAGTGATATAATCTTAAATTACATTTACATTGTTGCTATCATCTTATATAATTATAATTTACTATATTTAATTCCACCATTAACTGTATATAATTCTAACTTATATTTACATCGATATAAAATCTATTGGCTCAAAACCATATCTACAAACTGGTTTTATTACTCGTTTGGGACGATTCACCGATGGCACTGGGCTTTCACCACCAAAATTTTCTACTTGAACTCCGAGTTGTGTATTACCTACTGTCCCCTCCACAGGCCCAGTATCCTGCGCGCTAATCTCGGGTAAACTTGACCCCGTGTCCATGTTGTTAGGTTCCACTTCCCTTACCGTTTCTCTCCGGAATCTCCACAGCGGATTTGGTTTCAGGTGATGCAATAATTTCGTCAATAGATGGTACCCCGCAACTGCTTCTTCTCTTTTTAATTTGGTTGATGTGCCTTTTCAAGAAGAGACCACCTTCCTTGCTTACTACACAATTACCAGACCCAACTCTCTCTGTGATAGTGCCACCTAACCACTTTTCCCCTGTGTAATTGCGAGCCCACACGAGGTCACCTACTTGGAAGTGTCTCTCCGTCCCGCCTGCATTACGTACTTGTTTACATTGAGCCTTTATCCTAGCTTCTACCTGTCTATCTTCGCCTAATAGTTCTAACCTTGTTCTTAATTTTCTTCCCTGTAATGACATAGCTGGTGCCTCACCTGTAGCGCTATGTTCTACATTTCTATACATCATAAGATATGTTTGCAATGCTTCATCTAAATCTATCCCGTCACGTATAGATTTTTTACAGCTGTTTTACAAAGTTTAACTGCATTTTCCGCTGCTCCATTAGAAGCAGGGTGATATATTGGTGTAAAGGTTACTTTAACGCCATTATTATTCATAAATTCTCGATACTCTCTACTTGAAAATGGTGGACCGTTATCTGATACTATTTCCTTTGGCAAACCAAAGCGTGCAAAGGTAGTACGAAGCACCTGTGGCGGTGCATTTGGGGATGCTGATCCTTCCAGGCAACATGTGAGACACGCCTGACAAGTCATTTCAATATCGTGATCGATACCTGGCCACCAGACAATACTGTGCGCTAGACTTCATTTTTACTATTCCTAAATGACCTACATGCAATTCTCGTAGTACCGGTTCCCTTAACTTACTCGGTAATACTAAACGATATCCCCAAACCACGCATCCTCTGTCTAGGTATAGTTCATTGCGTCTAAAAAGTAAGCTTTTAATTCGTTCTCCTTACAATCGTTAGGCCATCCCGTCTTTATAAAATTTATGACTTTAATTGAAATTTTATCTTTACAAGTACTTTCTCTTACGCTTTCACTCGTAATTGGTAAAAAATGCTGAATGAAATTTAAATATGTACATTCCTCTTTCACTTGTTTTTCTCTATCCACTGGTAGCCGAGACAAGGCATCTGCGGCGTTCCTTTGACTACGCACATATTCTATTATATAGTCATAACCGGCTAAAATTATTGCCCAACGTTGCTTCCTACTTGCTGCCATGACGGGTATGCCTGTTTTATCCCCAAAAACAGTGACTAATGGCTTATGATCCGTCCTTAATATAAATTTCCGTCCGTAAAGATATTGGTGAAATTTACGCACACCATAGATTATAGCTAAAGCTTCTCGTTCAATTTGTGAATACGCTCTTTCACCTGTGTTGAGTACTCGGGACACGTAAGCCACCGGTCGCTCATCTCCTTCCGGACAGATATGTGAGATGACAGCGCCAATGCCTACACTACTCGTGTCAGTCGTTAGTACCAGAGGCAACTCAGCAGCATAGTGAGCTAGCACTTTGCTAGATACCAACAGATGCTTTACTTTATTAAATGTTTGTTCACATGTATTCCAGTTATATCGGACATCTTTTTTTAACAATCTATATAAAGGCTCTAGAATAGTACTTATATTTGGGACAAATTGGCATAATACATTACTAACCCTAAAAAAGAACGTAATTCCATAATACTTGTAGGCAGAGGAGCCTTTGTAATTGCATCTACTTTTTCGGGGCATGTATGTACCCCTTACTTATTAATCACAAAACCTAAGTATGTTACGTTTTCCGCGAAAAACGTGCATTTCTCTTTCTTAATCCTCAAACCGTACTGCTGTAATCTCTCTAACACTTCGTTGTAATGTATTCAAATGTGTAGGCGTATCTACTCCAGTAACGATAATGTCATCTAATAAGACGCCTACTCGCGGCATGTCAGCAAGAGCTGTTCTAATTTTCGTTGAAAGATACCTGGACTAGAGGCTAACCCATATATTAATCTGTTGTACATAAATAAACCTTTGTGTGTGTTTATCACAGTATATTTTTTGACTCGTCTAACGCAAATTGTGCGTACGCTAGTTATAAATCTAATTTTGTGAATTTTTCTCCCCCGTGTTCTATAAACAGGTCTTCTACCTTAGGCAAAGGATAGTGGTCCACTTCTAAACACTTATTCAATGTAATTTTAAAATCTGCACATACTCTTATGGTGCCATCTTTTTTCATCACCGGTACAATAGGTGTAGCCCAGTCCGACGCGGTGACCGGAGTGATGATTCCATCTCGCACCATCTGATCGAGCGCTTGCTCAACCGGCTCCTGCAGCGCGTAAGCGAGCGGTCGAGCGCGCAGGAATATGGGCCGTGCTCCTTCCCGCAGGCGAAATCCTACCCCCGGTGAAACGTCCCAAGCCATCTTTGAATACTTCAGAGTACCTGGAACTGAATTCCCTTATAACAAAAACATTGTTCAAACTATTTATTTTAAGTACATTACATGTTGGTAACGGTATACCTAGTTCATTGAGCCAACATCTACCTAATAAATTAGTCTTTCCGCTTTTTATTACATACAAGTCTAATACTTTTCTTCTAGTTTTAAACTTTACGTTGACCTCCATCTTGCCCACAGGTGTTACTTTTGCGCCTGTGTAGTATCGTAATTCTAAATCACTCGGCTTTAGTTTACAATGAACAAAGAAGTTTTTGTTTCAGCCTCTTCCATAGACAAAGCTATAGTAAAGGCTTTGTCAAACGATACGTTGTCCTTCTCGGTAAACAATTTCTGGCGAATTTCTTCATTACCTATGCCGCATATAAATTGATCACGGATGTTCTCTGCTAAGTCTCGAAACCCACAGTTTATGCTCATTTTTTTTTAACTCGGCTACATACACCGCCATAGATTCTTCCCTATGTTGAATACATTGTCGAAATTTAAGCCTTTCTGCCCGTTGACTCGGTTTTGGGTTCAAATGATTCTTCATCAAACACAAACTTCATCAAACCCGACACAAACGCGAACGTCAACAAGCGTCGCCCGCGAAACGTCCTAATCGACCCGGTCGAGGAAGGGGACTTAGATACGCCGAACCCACCAACAACCGCCGGGGGTGCCGCCGGATAACACTACACCCACAGTTAGTGCAACAACAAACACACTAGTTCGTCAGATGAAGCTTTAATAGTCTCGGGACTGAAAGCAAAAACATCAGTTAATACAAGATACAAGACAAGTTAAAAAAATGTTTCTTTTGAGACATTAATTCAAATCACAAGCAAGTTTCTTGTTAAGAGGTTTCACATCACAAGCAAGTGATATTTTATACAAAACTAGCTTTTCGCCCGCGGCTTCGCTCGCGTTGAAGCCCTTAAATAAATATCTTTCAACCCTTTACAACACTTTTTTCCAATTAAAAATAGCCTATGTCCTTTCTCAGGCTCTAGACTATCTGTGTACCAAATTTCATTTACATCGGTTCAACAGTTTTGGCGTGAAAGTGAGATAGAGAGCCAGAGTTACTTTCGCATTTATAATATTATAGTATGCATAAAACAATTTTACGATATACAAAAATTTTATTGGAACGAAGTTTTGGAACGAAGTTCCTTATCGCGCGTTGTGAAAGGGGGCTAGACGGAAAAAATTCTCACGCAAAGTTGTAACGACACTTTTTGCTATAGTAAGCTATTGTAAGCCGTGCGGCGTGCGCATGTTTCTCTGTCTGTTGTTTGTCTGTCAGACAGACAAACATGACAGTTAGAGGAATAATTTGATTTAAGAATTAATAATAATCCAGCAGAATCAACAACAAAATATAATACTACCATTGATGCAGTTTTTACAAGACATTTAAATAAAATAGAATCCCAAACATATGTTCAATTACAACAAGTTAAATTCAAGTGTTCAATTACTTGCAGTTACCACAAGCCAATTATTACTAAAATTGAGCCTACCGATTACGTTTATATTACATTATATTTGTTAATAATAAAAAAAATATTGTTATAACTTTAAAAAAAATTATTACAATTCCTTCACTAATTAATCGAAAGGAGCTTCGTTCCATCCGGGTGTCCCTTGACACCACTCAATGTTTTTAACTACACTCTAGTGGCAACCTAATGTTTAAAACATTAAAATGTATTTGAGAAACTCCTATACAGTCAAGGCCACACTACTCTGGAATTCCTTGCCCGACGACATACGAAAGGCACCCAGCAAATAAATGCTCCTTCACGGTCTTTTCAGTCCATACATTTGATATTTGTATGGAGCTTGCTCATTCCGTTTAGTTCCGTCCGTCGAAAACAGATGGCGTTGTTTTAAATACAAAACCGTTTTAACCTTCGTACCATTAAATTAAAAACAAAATTTTATTTTAAAAAGTAAAGTAAAGTATCAGCCTACTATAAATGTCCCACTGCTGGGCAAAGGCCTCCTCTGTACAGAGGTTATCAGGGCATAGTCCACCACGCAGCCCCACTCCGGATTGGCGGACTTCACATATCTTTGAAATATTTTTTGTTTATTATTATTTCGAAAATATGCAGGTTGCCTCACGATGTTTTCCTTCACCGTAAATTTTATTTTAAGTTAAAATAAATTAAAAAAAATATGTATTGTTCTTATTTTGTATTTTGAATGGTATTTTGAAAATTGTATTTTATTAAACAAAAATTATTAATTTGAAAAAAAAAAACACAAAATATTATGTAATAGTATTGGTAGCATTGGCCTATGTAGTATTTAAATTGTTCCTCCATAAACTCTTATTGTGAATATACGGCTACTCATAATATATTAAATTCATTTAATAAGTAATATAAAATGCCAAATGGGGAGAAAATTGCCATCGGATGTGTTCAAATATATGCTGCTAAGTGGGAAAAAGACAATGAATAATGGTAGGTATGTTTCATCCGGATCTTTTATAATTGAATGATACTTATTCCCATTATTTATTGTCTGATTTTTTAAAATAATGAACATGATAATAACGTCACAATAAAATGTATTTAATTTGTATAAATATTTTTCAAGTCAATGAACCATGTTCAAGGTCAAGTATATTAATTAAGTTAATTTTTAAATAAAACAGTTTTGATTACCCAGATAATTAAATTTTCCGATAATTATTCTAGCTTGTTAGATAATTTTAAAAAAAGGTGACTTTTTCATTTAGGAAGCTTTTTTTTAAAAACAGTGGATTTTAGGAGGTTTTCGAAATTATTTAGGAGTTTTTTTTCAACAGTTGGTGACACTGAACTGCGGCCGATTATTATTCATTTATTTTATTCGGTTATCTATCATTATTCATCATTTTATTTTGTTATACGTTTCGGCAAAACATTCATATTGTATTTACAGGTAAAGACTGCAACGCAAATTTGCATTCTTTTTCTCACCTGAAAATGATAGTGACTGATTTAAAACATGGATTCAATCGATTGGAGGAAATTTACTGATTTTGGATAGCCAAAAATAATTTAATGTAAATAATTTACTAAACGGCACCAGACTCCAAATCATTCATAACAAAGATTATAAAAAAAATAGCGAGTGATATCACTCGCTATTTTTTATATAAAAAACGAAAGAGTTCGCAAAACATATTTCGGTATTTTATTTACTTTATCCAAAAATTACATAAAAAATAATATGTATGTTTCATAATTATGTTATATTATTGTCTTATTTGGTATGCTATTTTCTATTCTGTTAGTGAAGGACCAATAGCTTTACGGATAGTAGTAGATATCGATAAAACTTTGATAATAGCTTTATGTAAACATTCAACAATCAGTACATTTATATCATATCCATTCTTATAATTTGACTGTAAACAATAATGTTTATCTTGAGGACACTTAATTTAACTGTTTTTCGTAGTTTTGTAAAAAAAAGTGGATAAACTCAATTGGCTGAATCAATCAATCAATCAGATGTTATATATAAATACGCAAATTAAAACATCATTGTTAATAAAGGAAAGTTAAATATTTGATGATATTTATGACTGGCTATTTAAATTTTTTACTATGGCATCCCAGAAAATTGCAGCGCAGCGCGTCCATGTCAAGGAACTGAGTGTTCGTCTATGTAACACGGGATCAATATATATTTAAAATGCGGAATCCTTACTTAAATTTGTGTTAATTTCTTTCTCTTAATGGTGTAGTATATAAAGAAATCATAGAATTGAACAATTCCATCTAAAATCAAGAAATAATTCTATGAGCTTCTGCGATTACCTAGAATAATATATAGCAGTTAAGAGAAACGATGGAGTCGTCCTTTATCCCCGACAAAGTGAAGTGTTCGAAATAGAGTATTTGTGGAAACATTGCCTAAGCATTATGTAGTGGGGATTATTTGTGACTTTAGTTGATTTATTGTGCTTAGAAATTGTCGATTTTGAGAACAATTAGTATTATTATGCCGACGAGATGATGTGGTTTTGTGCAGCGGTTGCGGCCGCAGTAATAGCTGTTTTAAGCGTGCGCGGGGAGCAAGTCATGCTTCTCGACACTACTACTGAGGATACTCTAAGTTGGATGCGTTTTCCTTATGGTCTCCAAGCAAATACTCCTGGATGGGTTGAAGAGTCATACACAAATTTTGAAAAACATATCAACTGGCGATCGTATGTAGTTTGCGATGTGGCGCACCAAAATGTCAATAATTGGTTGTGGACACCTTTTATTGAACGCCGAAATGCCAACAGAATTTATATTGAGATTAAATTTACAATAAGGGATTGCTCCTTATTTCCAGGGAATGCACTGAGTTGTAAGGAGACATTTAGTCTATTATATTATGAATTTGATGTTGCTACACGTGAGCAACCACCTTGGGAGCCTGAAAGTTACAAATTGGTAGGACGTATTGCTGCAGGAGAAGGCAGGTTCAATACTAATTCTGAAGTTGACATTAATACAGAAGTTAAGAGTATTGCTGTTACAAAAAGAGGTGTATATTTTGCTTTTAGAGATCAAGGTGCATGTATATCTATTTTGGCAGTGAAAGTTTACTATATTACTTGCCCAGAAGTAACAGTTAATTTTGCAAGGTTCCCTGCTACACCAACAGGTAGAGAAGTGACAGTAATTGAACAAGCAAATGGAACATGCGTGGAAAATGCAGAGACGGGTCCAGGGGAGACCCCACCTGTGTACTTATGTAAAGGTGATGGAAAGTGGACATTACCCAGTGGATCATGTAAATGTCGAGCTGGTTTTGAACCAGACCATACAAATCAAGTTTGCAATGAATGTCCACCTGGAAAATTTAAATCGCACACAGGTGATGATCCCTGCATTGCATGTCCTGAATTTTCCAAATCTGTAGTTTATGCAGCTGCCGAATGTAAATGTGTTCCAAATTATTACAGAGCAAAAAAAGACCCTAAAAATATTCCATGCACACAACCACCATCAGCTCCAGATAATTTAACAGTTACATTTGCTGATCAGTTTTCAATTTCTTTGACATGGCAACCACCACACAAAAATGGTGGCCGTAATGATATTACTTATAGCATCCACTGCTCTAACTGTGGCCCAAGTGTTGAATATAGACCAGCTTCCAGTGGGTTAAATGCCACTAGAGTAACTATCATGGGATTGGATCCAGTTACTGAGTATAAATTTCAAGTATTTGCTACTAATGGTGTTTCAGAACTTACTGGGGAGCCACCAAAAAAGGTTGAGATAACAGCAGTTACTGAAGCTTCAGTTGTGAGTGTAGTGTCAAAATTAAGAGTATTGAGTGTTGAAAGTGACAAATTGTCTCTCGCTTGGAATCCACCTCCAGTTGATTTAACAGACCCAGAAGATACTATTGAGAGCTATGAAATAAAATGTTTCCCTAAGGATAATTTAGAGAAAAGCCCCAATTCAACATTAAGAACTACAAAAGAACCGCATGTAACTATAACAGGATTGAAAAGAGATACAGAGTATGGCATTAGGGTACGAGCCAAAATGAAAAGAGGATGGGGTGAATTTAGTCCCATTGTATATGCACGTACTGGATCTGTTCTGGAAACAACATTTGTTGGTGAAGAAGAAGGTGCCCAGGTGCGATTAGTTGCAGGTGTTATGGTGATTGTTGTTGTATTATCAGTGGTTGCCATCATTGCTACAGTTCTGTTTTTACGCTCACGTGCTGACGATGAATGTGACAAGAAACAACCAAGTGATTGCAATGCTTTGAATTACCGCAATGGTGAAGTATATACAGGCCCAGAAAGACCAACAAAGACAAGCAGTAATGCCACTACACCTTTGTTTGCTGGAACAGGATCCAGAACTTATATTGATCCTCACACATATGAAGATCCCAATCAAGCTGTCAGAGAATTTGCCAGGGAAATTGATGCATCTTGCATTACAATTGAGGCAATTATTGGTGGGGGTGAGTTTGGAGATGTTTGCCGTGGAAAACTAAAATTACCTGCTAGTTGCGGTCAAGAAATTGATGTTGCCATAAAAACACTTAAACCAGGGTCAACCGAAAGAGCTAGAAGAGATTTTCTTGCCGAAGCCTCTATTATGGGTCAATTTGAACATCCAAATGTAATATTCTTGCAAGGCGTTGTCACTAAGTGCAACCCAATAATGATTATTACCGAATTTATGGAAAATGGATCACTGGATACATTCTTGCGCGCTAATGATGGTAAATTTCGTGTTCTACAATTGGTAGGTATGTTACGTGGTATTGCTACTGGCATGCAGTATCTATCAGAGATGAATTATATCCATCGAGATCTTGCGGCTCGCAACGTTCTTGTGAATTCACAATTAGTGTGTAAAATTGCAGATTTCGGTTTGTCACGTGAAATAGAATCTACTGCTGATGGAGCATATACCACTCGTGGTGGTAAGATACCAGTACGATGGACTGCTCCAGAAGCTATTGCTTTCAGGAAATTCACTTCTGCTAGTGATGTCTGGTCCATGGGTATTGTTTGTTGGGAAGTAATGAGTTTTGGAGAGCGTCCATACTGGAATTGGAGTAACCAAGATGTGATTAAATCAATTGAAAAAGGTTATCGCTTGCCTGCTCCAATGGACTGTCCAGAGGCTGTTTATCAATTAATGCTTGACTGTTGGCAGAAAGAGCGTACGCACAGACCTACTTTTGCAAGCATTGTTAAGACTTTAGATAAACTTATTCGTTGCCCTGACACACTGAGAAAAATAGCACAGAATCGATCTGCTGACCCTCTTGCTGGGGATACACCTGATTTAATTCAATTTTCTTCTGTTGAAGAATGGCTTGAATGTATCAAAATGTCACGATACATTGAGAAATTTAGGGCCGCTGGTATATCAGATATGGATGCAGTGGTTGATCTTACAGTGCAACAGCTGTCTTCTCTTGGTGTTACACTGGTAGGGCACCAGAAAAAAATTATGAATAGCGTACAGAGCATGCGTGCGCAGATTCGTGTCAGTGGTCCTTATGGGTTTCTTGTTTAATACCACTATGGACTAAATAATATTTTGGATGTCAGTGGAATAAACAATGCCAATTGGTGGATCTCGACTTCTGTGACGTGATTCTATTATGGTGATTTATAATAATGAAAATGCATTTTGTATATTTTTCTAAAAGTACTGTCATAGAATTAGACATAGATAGTAATAAACACTCCTTTCCCTAGTTGTTAAGGAATTATATTCTAATTGTACTGTTTATATTATTTTGTACTTTATTAGATTGTTTCATTGTTTACCGTTGGAACATGTTACATAACTGGATAACTTACAACACAGTTGCTGATTGTAATTTATCTGATCATCTCTTTAAAAGCTTTATAATACTACCGTCTTTTAGCCACTATACAACGAATACAGAGTCATTCTTATTTTATGATATAGAAATATTTTTTCTTGTAAGAACACAGTATAAAGTATTACAAATTGTATCTATTGAAAAAAAAATCTAACTTAAATTTCTTTATTGCTTATCAGTGTTACTGGCAGCTATTTGTTTAGGCTTGATTTTAATTATTGTGATGTCTTGTAATATATTTATTAAAATTAATTTCAACTTATATTTTTAATTTTTTTGCTAAAACTATTTTTTTAATTTGCTTCATAAATAAACCTTATACAATGGATCATTTTTTAACCTACTATTTATACACAAAAGTAACTTTAAAAAGTATTAATTAGTTTTGATATCCAAAAGATTTCTCCTGACCTAAAAGAATGTCCTTAGACTAAGATTTAATTCTCCATGTTTTTGTAAGTACATTATTATCCTTAAGTCTCCAGACATAGTTTGACGTTAAGGCAACATTCCTTAATTGATTTGTCATTTTTAACTAAGTAAATAAAATGTAGGTAGCCAAATTTGCCGTACTGATTTTGATATAATTATGTTTATGAAAATTTTGAATTTTAAATGTTGGGATTTATTACAAGGTAATATAATATAAGTCTAATACTCATGTTTGCCAGTTTTTTCCTCTTTATTTTTTAAAAGATGATTGTATTAATGTCAATGTGATTATACTCAAGTACTTAAGTAATTAGTAAATTGCCACAAAAGCATTTTTGTATATTATACTACATTATGTTGCATGTAAATAAGGCTGATGATATCTAATCTATCTAAAGTGCCCAGCTTATATTTGCGATAAAATCATTTATGTCTTTAATATTTTAACTTTCATTTCAATAATATTGGATGATTAACTTTTGAAACATACTAATAAAAATGTTGAGAAATGTTACATGTAACAACCAATTTATTTAAAATTATAATGAAATGACATGCAATTTATACATATTTTAAAAATATACCGCCAATGTAGATATAAGAGCTTTGCTTATAATTTTCAGCTTGTTTGGCATGATTGTTGTTAGGGTGGTTTGATGCTTAGCGATGATGTATAATAAGTTAATTTTCACGTTTTGCTGGGCAGTGTTGAAATTTGTTAAAAATAGATGCATTTGCGAATTTTTTTTTATTTCCACACTCATTGTGATGTAAAAACAATGTGATATTCTTCACAAAAATCAATAATTGATGTGAAGTTTTTAAATAATAATGCCCTTTTGTAACAAAATAACTTGTCAATTTCTGCACTTTTACTTTTATGGATATTGAAACAATGACAGCTTCTAAATGAAAGAATTTAATTAACCATAAGATATTTTTTGTATTTTTTTATATTTAGGATATATGTGAATATTGAGTGAGTAGGATAAAGGCAAGAATTTATTAAAAAATACAATTATTATATCAAACCTTTCTGGATTGTTTACATTCTAAATTATATTATATATTCATTCTATATGGTGGAGTTGTAGAAACAATTTTTTATATTAATTTATATAACAAACAATTCTTTTTCAATACATTCAATCCTTGCACTCAATATTACATATCATTAATTGATCTTACAAACTATAATTTATGTTTGTTCAATATAAATTTAAATATATGTTAGCTCAGCTCAGCTTACCTGAAAAATTCTTAACTGCAAACATATTATGTACTTACAAATGTTGTTGAAATTTAATCATACACATTTTTTCATTCATTGTGATATTTTAGATTAAAGTGATACATTTTTTTCATATTTAAACAATTAAGATACTTTGTTTATGACCCACATTTAAATAAAGTATAATCATCTAAAATTTATTTAAAAAAAGTAAGCAAAGGTGACATTAAAAATGATGTACCTTTCTTTCAGTTTCCGTCTTCCATATGATTTCTAATATTTTTTTGTGAGTTTTATAGCATTTAAAAGCGAAATAATTCAACAATGTTCTAGTTAATTACACAATTTCTATAGTTTCCCGTATATAAGATTATCTTTTGTCAATTTATTGATAACCATTATTTTTCTTTTATAATTCATATTGTAATGTAACACCATATAGTATACCTTGTTCCACACCAATAATATAACACCAATTTTCTCTTTACACTTAGCAATAATTAATGTATGTATATTTAATGGTCAAGAATATGCTATTTATGACCACATTTGGGTGTTAGTTAAATGCAATATACTAAAAGTGTAATCAAATTTTCATACTGTAGATGAAAAATAATTATTTCCATAGGTATACAAATTTAATATTCATTATTCTGAGACATTATTACTATAATAGTATGTTTTGGTGTAACATGTGAGAAAGTAGGATAATATTTGTATGGCAGATGAGTTGGACAGCGAGAAATCAATTAAGTTTATATTAACGATATATTATTTCAATGTTTCTGGACACTTTATTTATTTTGATGTAACATCATAAATATGTATATCTCTGTTGTAAAACTGTAGCCTAAAGCAATAAAAATGCCTATAGATTACTATAAGCCACCATTTGGTAATTTAATCATAAGTTCAGACAGAAGGGTCCTCATATTTTCTACCTTTACTTTGTAAGCAGTTTTCGATTCCAAAAAATTCCAATTCTATAAAAGATCCAAACGATAATATCATACTATGAAAACTTAGATTCAATAATGGGGGAAAAATATAAATATTTAAAAGATATATAAATTGTAATGTTTTGTATATATAGATGAAAACTGTTATTCGTGTTCTTGCCGTCATCATAAGTCTGAAGTTTCATCGCCAACCGATGTAGAAAGAAAATCAGCTAACACATGTGATATGTAGAATTCTAGAGCCATACCTTTCATAAATTACTTAGTTTTAACATTGCTTATGCGAGTTGAGTAGGGTTATATTGAAGACAAACGATAGACGAAACTGTAGTAACACCAAGCATAGCCTAATTGATTGTAATTGATAGAATGATCATAGATTTATTTATAAGATTCTTTTTTATATAATATATACCTAGATCATTTGCAGGAGCGCTGAAATAATTTCTCCCTCCATTTCACATGTTTGTCATTTTTAAAAATATAGTATTGTTATGGACACCGAAAAGCATGGCACTAATTAGAATTTAGTGTGTCCTTGTATTGGGTAATAAATAGATCATCGAGCTAGTTTAAGATTGTTTAAAAATGGCGCTCCTGCATAGTGTACCGACAGATAGTATAAAACCCTATTTAAAGGGAACTCGAAATATAAAATAGATAAAACGAAATGTAAGCTTGGCTATAATTTATGTAATAAACTATTAATACTTATGTCGCGCTATTTTTATTTCTTAACCTTTATTCTTATCTATAATTTAAAATTATTTTGAGTAAATTTTAATGTTGTATTAACTTGTTTTTGCGTTCAGTCCCGACACTATTAAAGCTTCATCTGACGCAGTGTTTTTTTGTTTATTGTTTAGCCACAAATATGGTGCACTATTTCGAAGGTTTAACTTTATAGTATGCCTAAAAGCCTTTTGAGCCCTAGTGCATTGGAAAGAGTGCGGAATGCGCTGTTGACTTTCTCCACTGAGCCTAAGGACATTCGTGACGCCTCCCTCAGCTTCCACTCCCGCATTTTACCTAGGCTCGCTATAGAATTTGAGCCATTATTTTACCAGACGAGCGGGCGTGGCTTTTGGTAGTAGCATACATGAATAGCACTTTTTTTAATCAAAATTTCCAAATTTAAGTGTTACACTTATGTATTTTTAGAAATTAAAAGTACAAAATGGCTATAATTAAACCATAAAAATTAAATAATATTAGTAATCTCATTTCCTTAATGCGTTTCTTACAAAATAATAGGTATATAACCAATATCCACAGTAAGGATTCCAGGTAGTTTCGGTTTATTATTTAACTAAATGTAAATATATAAGTAAATTCCTGTAATGTGTTTTATTATTGCTTAATTACATAAAAAACCTTATTATCAATAGTCTACGAACTGAAAGCCAGTATATTTGTCTTCTATCGTTAGAAAAGACTAAATGATCACAATCAAAAAATACCAACCAAAAGTATACAAGCCCAAATAAGTAATAGTACAGATTTAAATAAACTGGTAATCCATTGAATTGAAAACGAACTAAATAAAATACAATTAGCTCGTGAACAGTGTTCAGTGATACCTTTATCGGTTCGTGTACACTGAGGAATTTATTCAGAAACAGGTTTTTAGTGCGAGGTCCGGTACGATTTAGAATATTAAGTGAATGGTAATTCTCCATTGTATCATGAGCTATCCAGTTGGAAGAGACTTTTATTCATCTTCAACTTACATTTACGGTTTTATGAATCTTTAAATAAAATATTTTACTTAGATAAGTACTTACCTATATAAAAATTGCTATATTAAAAGTAGTAAAAATTGTGCATAATAACTTAGTAACTAAGGGATGTATAACATAACATTATATTTTCGGTATTAACCATTTAAATATATTGTAAATTTCTTGCCATTCCAATGTCGATGGTAAAATGTATGAAAAGAAAATACAACAAAACAACAAAGTTATTTAAATATGCAGTATAGTCAATACTTTTGCACTTGTATAAGATGTTGCCAATTTTGTAATAATTTTTTTTTAAGTATGCAAGGTTCATGTTAAGTTTGCAAATTATTGTGAAACATGGAGCGTCCATTATAAGGTAGGGCGTTGCCCTTTTGACGCCTTTCTCCCTCTCTCGAGAGCTACAGTCTTGTGCCAAAAGATCCTCTTGCATACAAAATTTTAAAATTCTAGATCAACGATAAGTAACATGTTGATTTCCCTTCTCTGAAGTTAGACGTATTCTAGCCCCGAAAGTACGATATGTTAGTGTAGTATCTAAGATGTTTAATTGATATAATATTGAAATCTTAAACGAAAAACTGTTGATTTCCATTGAGAATTTTTTTAGGAATCGCAGTTCAAAAAAAAAATATATATATAAAAATAATGAATTTTGAGATATATTTTATATTACCTACTCAAACTAGCTGTAATCTTGATAATTAATAAGAACTGATTGATGCCGGCACAGAGTAAGTCTAGCAAGATTTATTAGAAGTAACAAAAAAATACCAATTTGTAGAAAAAAATTAAAATAAAATGCCTCATATTATGTATATACATGTAAATTTATGAAGTGTGGCGTATGCCAAATCACACTGGAACAATGTGGCAGACTATGTTTACAGGCTTAGAGGCCTTTCAGTACTAGCTGTGGGTCGTTTAACTTTATACACAATATGTGTATGTGCTGTTACTTGTAACGTTTCTAAGTAAATTAAAAAATATTAAAGGTGAAGTAAAAGCCAGCTAACAACGGTTTAAGTGTTACTTTCATGACTTTATCATTGATTTATTATTAATTTATTCGAAAAAAAAAAACGAAATATTTTTTATATTTATACGATTATATATTAAAGTTATATACTTTGAATCTGGGTTCGAAAACAAAATTATCACTATATATATCATGGTAAATTCAAGTTGATAAATCGGTATATAGAAAATGTTTAATTTTTAACTCTTCTTTTTACAGAATAATATGACATAGTTATCGTGGTAGTTGCTCGAATGGGCAGAATCATCCGGAAAAATACTCACCGATGCGGTCATCAGTGAGTACTTTTCCGGCCTAATGTTAAATTTTTCCTCTCTATTTCTCTATTATACTTTCGCGTTTCATCTAGTGACTAAGGTAACAAAGGCAAGATTTTTTAATGGTTGGCTACGCATCTATAGTATGTCTGTCGTTGTTGATGTTTATATATATATATATATATATATATATATATATATATATACTCACGATATTCCTTTGTTGGACTCCATAACGGCAGGCGTAAGGCGCAATGAAAATTTAGTATTTTATGGATTTCAATATACGATTTTATTTATAAACATATTTTGTGTGGAAGGGGTTGGGTAGTGTGTAGTGTCAACAACCACTGCGACTTAGAAAGATCTATTGTCCCTTCCAAAACATTGTGCCCTTACTGTAGGATAACTTTATCTTGTGTTATATAAATGTATTGTGTATATATAAATGTATGTATATATAAATGTATTGTGTATGTACATAAATTTCATGTGTACAAACGCCTAGATCCAGAACAATTATCCGTATTTCACACAAATTGTTGTCTGGTGTGGGAATCTACCACACGACCTCCGGTGCCAATACCTTGGCATCTGCGCCACTGAGTCATCACGGCCTCAGTTAAGCGCATTTTTTTCTGTTATACATACCTATATTGTTTATGTCGCTAATCGCCACTGTGCACTCTTTTAATATCAATGGTACCTGGATGAGCGAGCTTTGCTCGGTATTTTTTCGTGACTGTTGTGTTTTGGAAATTAGCTTTAGATACAAATTAATAAGTAGTGAAAAATGAATAACATTTTTCGATCTTACCGACATAATACGATACTATGAACTGGTTATATGAAATAAACCATGAGTGTAATTGGTTTAACATTTTATTAGAATAAAGTACTTACTTTTTTACAGTTTATCATTCAATTACGTAAGCATATTTTTATCATCACAGCTTTAATTGTAAAATCAGGTCTTGAAATAAATATTATTAGTAGTAACACATAACATAAGGGCCTTCTATAGCCGTAATAGATCAGTATCCGGGCGCTCGCCTTTAATTCAATATAGGGGAAATGCGGGTAAGACGGGGACGCTAAGGTAAAGTAGTAAAAAAACCGGGTATTTAAAATAATATCAGTGTTATTTATTAATCAAATATTAATTACTTATTATCGTTTTATTTGGCATAGCTTTGGACTTGGTAACTAATCATACAAAAATTAGAAAATTATAATTACTAAAAAATGGAAAATACACCATCTTACCTCACATATGAGGTAAGACGGGATACTAAATATGGGGCAAGATAGGTACAGAGGGTAAGATGGGGACTAATTTTCTTCACACAAAATACATATCAAAACATCCTCCATATCTTCGTCGTCGACTCCAGCACAAGCTGTGTGGGCCCATCGTCCACACCGCTGACACCCTACCCAGTTTTCCGACGATTTTAGATAAGAATTGTTTTCATCATTACAATATAAACAAATTGTATCTTCTTGTGATTCTTTTCTTGTTGCGCTCTTGTTTCCTTTGCCTTTACCTTTACCTTTGGCCTTCTTAGTTGTGGTATTATCAACAGCTAGTTTCACAGGTCTTTTTTCTTTCTTCTACTTCTTTTTTATACGGAGTGGAAGTAATGATGGCGGTTTTACCCCTTCGGTATTGTTTTCTTCTTTCATTAGACTGAATTATTGGTATGGCTATGATATCACTAGGAGAGGCATTATTAAAACTAGACGTGAGATCACGGCAAACTGCTCGAACAGGAAATCTAGTTTGTGCTGCATGTAAAGATGAAGGTCCAGGCTGTGATGCAGTTTCAGGTTCATCAACAAGTGGGGTTATTGACTGGGTTTGAGGTGAAATATAATAATTAGGAGTTGCGGGCTGTGTAGGCGTGCAGTAATCTTGTGAAGATATTAGACTGGTCTCAGTACATGTTTGCAAACGAATAGATTGAGAATTGCTGTCAAGTTGAGCATTCCTTTCATTAGTCTGTGCTTGTTCTGCAGGAGTATCATTAGCTGTGGATAGACTGTCCTCGATAACAGCATGTCGCTCGGTGGAAATGTCCGAAAATGGTAAATTGATGGGAGCAGATGTAGCCGGAATGTCTTCATTAACTAGACGGTTGGTTGTTTCAGCAGGCAAAAAATCTACATCAGTAAAATTGTCTTGATTGTATGGCCATATACCACATTTCCTGAAACCATTCAATGCCGTGTTCATAGTAGCTGCCTGAAGATATGCTTGCCCAAATATTTCACTTATTTGAAACATGGTCAGCACTCGGCCTGGGTGCGAACGTAACCAGTTGGTAGCAGCATGGTCGTAATAAATGCTTAAAGGCCTCATAAATGTAACATCTGCAGGTTGCAACCTGTGGGTACAGTGTGGAGGAAAGCAAAGTATAATTACTGTTTACTCCGTTTTGACGAGCTATGTCTATAACTTCTAAATTTTGAGTATGACTTACATGACCGTCAAGAAGTAGCAGCACTTTATTGTCAAGAGAAGCTCCTGAAAATTGTATAAATTGCTTGAACCAGATCGTAAATATTTCCGTGGTTATCCATCCTCGTGGATTGCAGGCAGCTGTTGTCCCTGGTGGAGCATAATCTAATAGTTCAGCTTTCAGGCGCTGTCGTGGAAATATCATGAGTGGTGGCATATAGTTTCCAGCTGCATTAAAGCAAATTTCCACTGTGACAGTCTGACCTCGTTCTGCAGATGACAACGACCCAACTTGTTTTCTTCCCTTGACAGCTATTATTTTGCTTTTAGTTTTCGAAACAACAGATATACCAGTTTCATCGCAGTTAAATATCTTGTCCGGTGTTAATTTATGTTGGTCGTAGATGTCGCCGAGTAACTGGTAAAACTTTCCAACAGCAATTTTATTGAATCCCATTGCACGAGCTGCAGACGTAGCTTCTGGCTTACGAATAGATAAATTCGGATGACGATCTAAGAAACCTCTGAGCCAGGCGTTACCACCCATTTTTTTTCTTTGTTAAAGTTATGTTTCTTATTGTTTCTAACAGCCAACTCATATACCATCCGTCTCAGATCAAGAGTAGTTAAACCGTATAGCCGTTCTTCCATATGTTTTAAATATCCCGCTATTTCTGCCTCTTCTTCAACGCTAAATACTTTTTTTATAGGCCCTAATGGCTCGCTGAACGTTACTTCCTTACCTTGTTTCACTTTATTGACATAACGCTCTGACGTGGTTTGCGGAACACCATAAGTAGAAGCTGCTTTTCGAAATCCTGATTTTTTTGCCAATACGTCTTCTACTGCTTTTTTCATAGCTTCTTTAGACCACTCTCCTCTTTTTGTCTTTTTTTTATAATTTCGTACCATTGTACCATACCCCTCTTACCTGAAAAACAAAATGGTAGCAATGTCACGACAAGCACAATACCATAAGCCTGTTGAAAGAGGCAAGATGGGGTAATGCCCCATCATGCCTCGCAAAGTTTGCCCCGTTTTGCCTTCACCTCCATAATTCAGCAAAAATATTAGTAAAAAAAAACACACGAAATTCCAAGCGTTTAGACTTACGCCCCACGATAATTAATACATTCACGAATGCGTTACAAAATCTACGATAATCAGGCACTAGTACTTACTGCTTAATAACAAATTATTCAGAACTTAAATCATAGATCGATGATATCGGTAAACAAGTTTTGACCTGCACCGGCTAAACGCATGCACTCTCACTCGCTGCCGACGTCGGACTAATAGTCGCTCGGGAGAGGCGTCCCGTTGGCCATTACGATGCGTTAGTGTAGTGTATAGTTTCGTCTATGTGTGGTCTTACCCCGTGTCCCCGTCTTATCCGTATCTCCCCTACTCGAGCAACCTGAGTTCGATCCCCGTTGCCGGCACCAATGAAATTGTTAATTTTCAGCACCGAATTATCACGTGTTCAGTGGTGAAGAAAAACATCGTGAGGAAACCTGAATATTTTCGAAATAATAATAAAAAAATTCAAAGATACGTGAAGTCCGCCAATCCGCTATGGGCTGCGTGGTGGACTATGCCTTGAACCCTCTGCACAGAGGAAGATCTTTATCCTGCAGTGGGACATGTATGGGCTGATACTTTACTTTATAAGGTCGCTTTCTGAGGCTCGAACATACTGATACTTGGGTATGTCACAAAACACGTGTATCGATTAGGCTGGCATGAAACAGTCAGTTAGTGATGTGTTTTTTGCATGAGTGCCAAAAGAATTTAAAAGCCATTTTTTCGCCTAATAAACATCAGGCGTGAAAAATGCGCGCGCATTTAACGGCTGGGTCATGCCTGTCAGTCAGTACTCATGATTCAGTATACTCAAACTGAGCTCAACGCTCTGGGCCGAAAAGTCCGCACAATTATGACGTCCCACAGCATGCATCATCCGAGATCGTCAGTGATGAGGCTGTATCTGCGCCAAAGCATAATGTACAAAAATCAATACAAGATTACTAAGTATGTAGAATTAAAGGAAGAAATTAAAAGGATTTGAAAAATGAACAAAGTATGTTGTACCATTGATGCTCTTCAGCACAGGTGTCATACCTAAAACTCTTTTTTACAATATTTAAAACTGATAAAATTATATAAGAATATATATATTAACTTAACATTCAAAAACCAACAGTATGTTTTGTCTCTTTTAAATTCATTCAACCCATTCATATGGTTTGTAACCTTTACAATTAATGAATTTTACAATACAGTTTTATACGTAAGGGTGTTCTAAAATTCTTTGTTTTGGAAAATTTAATAACTCTGTAAACATTGATGTTTAAAGAATGTACTTAAATGGTTAATGGCTTAACGCTGTATACAGCGTGTCGTTTTTACTGTTAGAAGGAGAGACTTGTAATGCGACGTTGTGGCAACAAATGAAAGAGTCTCTGAATGTATGAATCAGTCAGTTGTAGTTGTATAGGATGTTACAAATTTTGTTTCTTTTTTATTTAAATAGTTTGTTTGAGAAATATATTTATTTTATTATGGATTTTTTTAATGTTTTATATTTTTTATGATTATTGACAAATAGCGTTAGACGTGTGTTCATTTATTGTCGTGGTTGTAAGGACACGCTGTATACATCTATACAAGAATTGCTCGTTTAAATGTATTACATCGATTACGTAATTTCCTACACAAGTTTATAATGATACTCCTCTGTTTTCTTTGTTGTTATCAGTTTTAATAAACTTATTTTTATTATCGATACAATAATAACAAAAATGTAACTAATCGTTGTCTGTAAATGGAAGATTTTTGAGAAAAACTATTATTTGGCCTTTATCAACGCGGTAGAACCCAAAGCAATGATTGTTAAAATTTTTGTCCCAAAACGCAATGAACTTTCGGGACAATTATGTCATTTTCAAGTGGCTCTGCTGGCGGCATTGACGGTATAACGCCACAACATCTGAAAGATCTTGTAAGCGTTTCCGCCGGTGATGCCGGCACTTCTTAATGATATTACTAAATTATTTAACCTAATGCTTTCCGGAAAAGTAAATTCGAAATTTGTTCCTTACTTATACGGGGCAAGATTATGTGCCTTTAAAAAAAAGATAATGGTATTCGTCCTATTGCTATTGGTCCTACCTTTCGACGCTTAACTTCAAAATTAGCATGTAGGCAATCTCCGGCCTTAAAACAAAATGCCAGCCTGTTCAACTAGGCTTTGGAAGCAAAGGCGGATGTGAAGCGGCTGTACATTCCGTTCGAACTTCTTTAAATATTTTGATGTACTTCTGAAGGTTGACCTAAGGAATGCTTTTAACTCCATTGATAGAACGACTCTGCTGAACGAAGTGGCTAACCATACACCAGAAATATATCATTAGGTTTGGCAATGTTACAGTGAAAAGAGTAATTTATTTTATGAAGACTATATTGTTGATTCTGCTGTCGGCGTTCAGCAGAGAGATCCGCTAGGACCAGCATTATTTAGTTTGGGTATTCATCCAATTATTTCAAAATTGAAATCTAAACTGGTACCTAGACGATGGTACGCTGGGAGGTAAAGTTGACGATGTACAAAGTGATCTTATTGAAATTATTAGACAATTTAAAAATATCGGTATCCATTTAAATAATTCCATATGTGAACTTTTCTCTTCCGAAAAGATTTCTTTTTCCGACAAAATCACTTTGACCCAAAATTTTAGCTCTATCATACCAGGAATTAACGTAGTCCGTACAGATTCACTTTACCTCTTAGGTACTCCTTTGTTGATACCAAGTTTGGACCCTCATTTAAAATTAAAGTTGAATCAATTTTTAGATCATGTTAACAAATTTTTCTACATATTTTAATAATTAAAAAATTGTTTTTATTGCGCTTACTATTTTGCGACATTGTATTCTTGTACCTAAATTTACGTATCCTCCTTCGCTCGAATCCAGTTTGGAAATGCGGTGACTTTTTGAACGAAGTTGCTTTCCATCTTAAATCAGCTCTAGAAAAAATTCTAAATTTATCTTTTAATGAATCAAGCTGGACTCAAGCTACGCTGCCAATTCGTTTTGGTGGTATCGGTGTAAGGAAAATTGCTTCCGTGCATAGCGTAAATAATTTATGTAGTAACATCCTTAATCACGATTCAGAACTTTCCTATGCAGAGGAGGCAAGAATGTCTTGGCTCCAACGAAAATATCCCTCGGGCCTCGCGAAGTAAACCTTCAAAAACAGTGGGATGTTCCTTTGGTGCAGAGAGTACAGAGAGATACGTTTCAATCTTTAGAAAGTAATTTAGAGCGTGCCCGTTTCCTAGGCGTCTCATCTAAAGAATCGAGTTATTGGCTTCACGCTTTACCATCAAGTAATTTGGGCACATTACTTGACTATGAAAGCTTACGCATTGCTGTAGGAATCCGTCTGAGGGCACCGATTTGTCAACCACACCAATGCCCTTATGGTGTTATTGTAGACAAATTTGGTCTCCACGGGCTTTCTTGTCAAAAAAGTACTGGCCGTTTTTCCCACCACGGTTCCCTGAACGACATCATCCGTAGGGCTCTTGTTAGCGCTGTGGCATTTTTCGCGACATTGTTAAGAGACCCGACAGTTTAACATTGATCCCTTGGGAGAGAGGCGAAGCCCTTGTTTGGGACGCCACTTGTGTAGACACTGGCTGCGTCTCATCCAAGGGGTACTTCGGTCAGGGCCGGGGCGGCAACGGAGTCAGCTGAAGTAAGTAAATGGCGCAAATATGAGTCTTTATGTTTAGATTATGTATTTGTGCCATTTGCTGTTGAAACTTTAGGTTCCCTTGGGGTCCGTTCACATCAATTTTTTTAAAAAGTTTATGTCCTAAGCTTAACGACGCGACTGGTGACAAGAGAGCTGGTTCTTTTCTCGCTCAAAGGCTAAGCATAACTATTCAGCGAGGAAATGCAGCTAGCATTCTTGGCACCATGCCGCGTGGATTAGGTTTATTAGATAATATTATGTAATTTTAGATAGATTTAATCTTGTAAATATTAGATCAATAAAGATTGTACATTTTAATTGAATTGGATGAAACTTTAATTAACTGTTTATTATGGTCTGTAAAATGACGATTTTAATTTTATAAAAATTAAAAAAAATCGCCCAAGTGCGAGTCGGACTTGCGCACGAAGGGTTCCGTAGA